TGCGGGGTGTCAAGCGGAGGGAAAGGAGAGTTGTGAAATCATGAAAAGTTGCCTAATCGAAGAAAGATGTGACTCTCCCCGGAAGATGTTAAGCGCCCCGGGAACGCTGTGCGTAGGAGCCATTTACCGGAGAGAAAAGCGCTGTCCGGTCCCAGGGGCAGCAGCGCTAACCCCGCCCGCGGCCCCTCGCGTCGGCGGCGCAGGGAGCCCCGCCTCCTCCTCCCCGGCCACTCAAACCAAAACACTTGGGTTTCACTCCGCACTAGCAGACGCCAGCGTCCTTCCCGGACTCGACCTAGGTGTTCGCCCAGACTCACCTACGTCGGCAGCACCCCCTCTGCCCTCAAACCCCCCACCCGAGAGTTGAGCCTCGGGCAAGCAAGTTTCTTCTCTGGGGATCTCGTGCGTCACTCGCCCCTGCCGAAGAGCCCGGGTCCCACACGCCTCCCCCAAGTCGCGGAGGCCTAGCTCGGTGTGGGGCGGCCCCCGTCGCCTTGTCCGACCCCACTGCGACCCGAACGCGCCCGCACCAGCCACAGTCGCAGCCCGGGAGGAAAGGCTGTCCTCGACACCCAAAGCGCAATCACTTGGCTGCGTCGTCACCACGGAGACCATTCCTGCGACCAGCCAGGCCCCTGGATTCCAGGAGCTGAGGGGCGTCTCCCGAGCCCCCAAAGAGCTCCAGCTGGGGCCCGCCCCGTACAGGGCACCAGGACGGGCAGGGGGAGCGCTTACCCGGCGAGGGGCTCCTGGACAAAGGGAGAGTCTCACTGAGCTTTCCGAGGCTGAGCCGCCATCAACTGCCGAACCTCTTCCGCCACCACAGGCTGCCTCCAGCGACCGGCCCCACCTCCCCTGCCCGAAGCCGGCGTCACGTCACTTCCGCCCAGGGGCTCGCCCCTTCCGCCGCCGCGGGTTGGGAGGGGGTGGCCCCTCCGCTGGAACGTCGCCTCCCGCCCGGGTTTCCCCACCCGTGCTCCTGGGGCGGCCCCCGGTGAACCCTAACCGGCAGAGCCGGCCTCTTCCTGGGCTGGGGACTCCTCCTCTTTCTTTGGCCTCGTTTTCGCTCTGAAACGAAGTCGTTTGCATTTGCATTTTTTTACTTTCTTTTTTAAAATATAGAATTTTTTTTTTCCCTAAATTGTCTTTATGGGTGAGAGTATTGCAGAAGTTTGTTCCCCCATTGATCTCCTACTCCCCGCTCCCGCCCCCACCCAAGACTTCACCTCTCTATTGTCTGTCCATTGGTTATGAATATATGCATATAACTTCTTTGGTTTGACTTTTTAATTATTACTTTACTGGAAAGTTAAGTTTCCAGTTAAGTGGAAAGGATAGGCCAGAGTTATATGGACTATCACCATGTCATTGCGTGGATCTGAAAAATGTGTCTAAGCGAAGCCTTACATTTTATAGGTCAGCATGTGGAGAACCATAGAAGTGAAGGAGCCACCTCAAGGCTGGGGCTGCAACCCCTCCCCCCAGGGCTCTCTCCCAACTCCTGGTCCAGTCTGTTCTTGTTTATGAGGTTTTCTTCTCTGTAAAACCTTGGTTTCTCCTAGGAGCTTTTCAATTCTAATATTCTGATTCTATTTCCTCTTGCTCCAGCAATGGCCTCTTTCTACTAACTGCTTTTATGTGTTATTTTGTGTGTGTGAATTTTGTCCTGTATTCTCTGTTCAATTATAATTTCTAAAATCACCTGACTATGTTATAGTATATCTTACCTTCCTATGGTAGACATTCACTTTGAATCTTAACTCCAAAGAAGCATGTGTGTTCTGTTCTATTCATCATATTCCTGGGTTGCCATAAACTCCTGATGAAATTTGCAGTATCACCAGGGAAGAAAGGATAACAAATTAGATCACATTAAAGGTTGAAACACTTTCTAAGTACAGAACTACAAAATCCTCTTTCATATACTCTCATTTTCACTTCCACATAATTAAGATTACAATGCTTTCGATAATAATAGGTTCTCAATATTTGATGACTAATTTGTTTCATATTAATTGAAATTTTTGAACTTGGATGTGTCTGTATGTCCTACTTGATCATAGAATTTCAGAAGAAACTTTACATGTCATGTAGCCCCAACCCCCTTATTTTACAGCTGAAGAAAAGTGTGTAATAATATCAATAATCACTGACATTACTGGTAACAACCTTCTAGTAGTGGAAATACCTGTCCCTTAAATGTAAATATAGCAGTGAACTTCATAAGCATAATTTTTTCAGAGGTGTCACTCTTTATATTTTCTAATCACCAGTTTTCAGTTCATGATATCAGAAAAAAACAATATGTTTAATCAAAGCTATAATTTGAAAACATTCTTATGCAGGTTTTTTTTTTTTATTTTGTTATTTTTAATAATTTCTTGAATTTTTAGACCTTATTTTCTCCCATCAAGATATTCATTTAGTGACTTTAAACTTGTTTTAATCCTGTTTATAATGATCCCTTGAATTTTTAGACAGTGTTTCTCCCAGCAAGAGAAATATACACCATTTCAGTATTTAATTGATTTTTTAAATTAGCCTGTTATATGTACAGCGGTGTACTGTGGCTATAAGACATGTGGATCCACAATCCCTTATATGAAACCTTTAGGCCAAAAGGATTTCAGAAGTCCACATTTTTCAGACTTTAGAAAAGTATACTTTATGTTAAATGACATCTCACAAGGTCTGAGGCAGCACTCCATAATCAAGTTAACATCTTTCTCTGGAAAAATTATGAATATTACACTGCTAAGTAGCAGAAATAAAGCATATAGTCTTCAGTTCAGATTAGGTTTTGCCACTTGACCACCATGGGTTCAGGTCACATTTTATTGACAAATGAGTTCAGATCAGGAGAGGTTTTGCCACCAAATGTTAGAAAAACATTTGATCAAAGGTTTTTGGATTTCAAAATAGTAACTAAGAGATCATAGATCTGTTCAAAGAATGATAGCAAAGTAAATCTCTCAGCATCCCATGATATTTCTGGAGCAGTGACAATTCCAAGTAGTTTCTAGGCAGTCGTCCTAACCTGACATATACCACTGTGTCCTGCATTTTGATTGGGAAATATCTAAAAGACATCATTCCTATATTACAACTTATGGTAGCAAAGGGAAGAAAATAAATGAATTCATGAAAAGGTAGGTAACTAAAGTATAAAATATACTATAAAATGAAATAAAAAATAATAAAGTAGGCCTGGTCGGTTTGGCTCAGCGGTTAGAGTGTCAGCCTGCAGTCCAGAGAGACCTGGGTTCAGTTCCCGCTAAGGGCGTGTACCTCGGTTGCAGTTTGTCCCTGGCCCTGGTTGGTCATACAGGTGGCAGCCACTCGATGTGTCCCTTTCATGTCGATGTTTCTCTCTCTCTCTCTCTCTCTCTCTTCCTCTCTCTCCCTCCCACTCTATCTGAACAAAAAGTGGAAAAATGTCCTCGGGTGAGGATAAAAAATGATAATAATAATAAAGTATAAAATAAGATACTTTTGAGATGGGAGTTCTCAATATAGGCTTGTGTGAGCAGTATACTTTTCTTGAAGGCGGTAGGCCTAGACTGTTAAAGTTAGTAGGGTTTTGATGGAGAGAGAGAAATAAGACTAACTCAGGGTATAAGAACTTGGGCAAAGGAGTCAAATAGGGATAAGATTATTAACAAAAAATAAGAATTCCCATCTGTGGCGTACACAGTGCTATCCAGGCACTCTGCTAGATTCTTAGGTTGTTCCCCCCTCACAGCCACCCTGTAAGGTATTATTCCTGTTTTGCAGGGGAATGTGGGCTCAGAAAAGTTAAATAACTTGCCCATTGTTAAAAAATAAAAAGAAAACAAGTAAATTTGGCGATCTAATTGGTTTTAGTAAGCAATTCATAAATCGAGCAACATCTCATCTAGCAAGTAGAATGGAAAGTTTTTATCAGCAGAAAATGGTGGGACTAAAGTTAAGAGTGGTTTATTTCAGGAAACGACATCTTCCCTTAGCCGAAGGCAGGGGGTTCTTATCAGACAGATTACCTCATTGGTGTGTATCAGGAAATTTCAGACTGGTTTAAAATGTCACTCTGGGAGAGTCCGAAACTACAATTAGGAGAGGTGTTAAATCTAGGTTTGGTATCGGGCTTTTAGCACAAGTGACACCATTTCAGGCCTGTGGCTTTTCTGTTTCCACCATGAGCACAAAAAGGGTAAACCAAACTTGAACCCAGATCATCTATGATTCCCAAAGTTTATGTATTTTCCACCATGTCATACTGCTGCTTGATAAAGGCTTTTCGATCACTTACTGTATGCTCTGGGTTATACTAGGTGCTCTGGGGAAAACAAAGAATAAACCATGGATTTTTCCCTAAATCTACCTTAAATCTAATTAAGATATTACAAGATGGTATTGTAAAGTAAGTTTGTAGGAAATGGGCTCTGAGAAGTAAACTAGAAAGAAGGATTGATACAAAGGAATTAATTTTGGAATTAGCAAAACTTTGTTAAAGAAACTGAACTCTAAACTTTGAAATATTAACAGGATTTGAAAATGTAAAGAAAGGGCTTATGTAGAAAGAATAAAAGCTCACAAATGAGACAATTAGGTGGTACAACATGGGTTGAAAATTAGAAAAAGTAATTTCAAATAGGCTTGTTATAGAAATATTACAGGTTTTCAAAGCCGGCAAATTAAGCCATTCTCATCTTTTGGAACAGTGGTTTTCCTTAAAGTTTGTATGAAAGGTTCCCTTTGCTAGAAGTTATTCCTTTAAAAAATATACATTTGTAAATCTTTGTTTAACAAAGAGTTTTTTTAAAGATGAGATTTGAATAGTGGTAGGTTTTGGATACATCAGAGGATTCAAAACACTCTAAAGCAGATTGTTCATTTTTTCTTACCCTATGTTAGAACATGGTTTAACATACACCAGGCTCCTTATTGTTTTCCTACCATTACCCTCCCAGACGTTTGTAAAAAAAAAACAAAAACAAAAACAAAAAAAACACCTGCCTGCTCCTTCGGGGTGCATACCAATCAGTTATAACTCCCTCTTCGTCCTTGTTGCTGTCACTTGCTGAACTCCAAGTCACTCTTCCTCATTCATTGAAGACTGTCATGTACTGCCCAGCCTTACTCTCCATTCCAAGCCCCTCGGTACCTATTTGGATGAAATTAAAATTAAAAGGCCAACATCCTGGCCTTTTCTTTTTCTTTTTTTTTTTTTTTGAATCCCTCATCTTCAATAATCTACCCCACTCCACTCTAGATACCTATTTCCATGATCATATCTTGGACCTTGCCATCATCTGAAACTGTTTCACCTTCAAAATCAAGCATCTTGCTCTTTTACAGCAACATTCTATTCTTCTAACTTTCTTATTCAAATATGCCTCCTGTAATTTTCAAACCCATCAGGATCTCTAATACATTCACTTTTCTTCTTATAATATTTTCCATTTATTCAACTCAGAGTCCATGAATTATCATTTTATTAACATTATCTCCAATAACCTAAAGTCCCTTGATTGTTTTTTTATCTTGCAAATTAAGTGCAGTCTCTTATAACAAATGTATAACAGACACTGTGGTCATCACATATTCTGTCACTAAAGGTGATGTCTGGGAATACTATGCAAAAACATTGATGTTAAATTGAATGTCTTGGGAGTTTTCTTGCATGATCAAAGAGATACATTATGTAACTAGGATATTAAGAAACAGAACCTGCAGAGGTTTATACTTTAGTAAGACCTCTGCCCCATCTGGCTCCTGACAGTATTCTTTGTTCCTTGTGCAACCGAGAGATCACTAGAATGTAAATATTCTCTAACCTCTGTTCCTTATCTTACTGAGAAGAGGAGTAATAGCATAGAACTTTGAATTCTTAAGGTATTTAAGATCAACAAGGTCCTTTCTTCTGTGTTTCTCATCACATACCTTTATTTTTTTAGTCACTTGCATACCAAATGGTTTCTAAAATTAATAAAAGTTATTTTAAGAAAATATTACTAAAATAATCTTCTAAAGTTTTATTTTAACAAAGGCGGAATCAGTTTTAGGCTGAAATGTGTTTTTATGCCCACAGATCTTAACCCCTCCCACCTTCTCAGGAACCCCACGTTATTGGATACTCAAGTCCTCCACCTCCATCTCCACGGGATCTTTCCCGTTGTCTTTTCAACAAGCTCAAGACTCTTTCACTTACTTCTTTATAAATTCCCTTCCAGATGTTACTGACTTTTGTCTTCCCCTACACAACTTCTCACTACTACAAAGAAACATCTATATCCCACTCGGTCATTTCCCACCCTTCCTTACCCCCACTTCATTGTGGATGCTGTCCCCATCAAACCAAAACATGTTGCATTAATATCATAATGTGTTCTAGACGGACAAATCCATCTTCAGATTCATGCACGTCCCATAGATACTAACCCGGTTTCTGATCACATCCTATAATTTGCCTGTATCTCAGGAGATCCATGAAAAGAAATTTAAATTTTTTCCGTTATTGAAGAATTCAGTGACTTACCTGATTGATAGCCTACTTCATAAAACATTTTTGAAGGGCCTAAAAATTGGGGCAGGGAATGAAATTTGGAGATCACTGTTATACAATTACCAATTTATTACCTCTCATTTCTAAATTCACTGTTTTTACCTGCTCAGTGAAAATGCATCTAAGTCCTTAACATAGTTTTTCTTTGCCAGCTAGAATGATTTAAACATTGTCAGTAGAAAGTGCTGGAGACACATTGCAAGAGGAAAGGATACTGCTTCCTGGATCCTGTGTACCCACTCAACAGACTCGTGCAGTGCCTATCACTTGAATGTCTGACTGCTGCTGCCCACCCAGCTTTCCCAGTGTCCAGCTCCTGCAGTGCATGGTAGCTGGCAAAACCCAGCACCCATTAACTTTACCCTCTGGGCAGTTTTGTGGTAGAATGCCTGCAATGAGATCCTTCTCCATGAACAAATTTTTCCAGAACCTTAGAGGGCAGATTTCTTTTTTTTTTTTTTTTTTTTTAATCCTCATCCGAGGACATTTTTCCATTTTTTGTACAGATAGAGTAGGAGGGAGAGAGAGGAAGAGAGAGAGAGGGAAACATCGATGTGAAAGGGACACATCGAGTGGCTGCCACCCGCACGACCAACCAGGGCCGGGGACAAACTGCAACCGAGGTACATGCCCTTAGCGGGAACCGAACCCGGGTCTCTCCGGACCGCAGGTGGACGCTCTAACCGCTTAGCCAAACCGGCCAGGGCTTAGAGGGCAGATTTCTGAAGGCAAGTTCCACATAGTGGATGTCCAGCAAGTTCCAGAAGGTGGATTTCCAGCAAGTTCCACCATCTCAGCAACACAGGGACTTTGTGAGATTCTCTATGAGACTTCTTCATTCGTTGACTCATAGCAATGCCCTCCTCAAGGTCTGCATCTCAGCCCTGAGGTGCTCTTGCTTGGGCATGTATCTCAGGCATGGGGGTAGTGTGTGCTCCTTGTATCTGCTATTCCTATACTCTTTAGAGTTCCCTTTCCTCCTACTAGCCTAAATACTCCAGTCCCCTGTTATAGTTGATAAGTCTTTATATGAAACTTTCCCTGTTCAAATCACTGTGCAATGGTTTTTGTCTACTAATTGGACTCAGACTGATACAAACACTATACCCCTTCCTTTAGCTTCACAGGTAGAACCTGTCTTGATTATTTTTTCTTCTTCTCCTTAATTAATTGCTTGGTGAGTTAATTTACTTCTGATCAGCTAGGGTTATTGCATGTAGCTCTTCATCGTACTGCAATTTTGTACTGCTATTTGATGTTAATTATGATGCATACAGGCTAGGATTTCTTCTGTAATATATAGTTTAGGTTGTAGAATTCAATAAACAATGATTTATTACCATTTAACATTGGATTTCCTAGATGAAAGAAATGCCTTTATTCCAAGAAGAGACCATGGCTGTGCTGATCCTGCCATGAGAACAAAAGGAGAAATGAAAGGAAAAATGAAATTATTACTAAGTACTTCTGTTGAACATTTTTAGAAGTGATTTATAATACACTTTACTAATTAATCACAAAAACTGACTTTGAGATTGGTTGGTGTGATATAGCAAGTTCTAAGAAGTTAAGAATTGACAAAATTCTCTTTCTTGAATTCTCCCTTTTCTACACTTTTCCCACTCTTTCAGGTACCCTTTCCCAAGTTCAACCATCCCTTCCCCTCAGGCACCAAGTGGTCTTGTCTAGGGAAAACAAATAAACTGATTCCCAATATTAATCTCTATCCTGTGAGGGACTTAATACAAGTATGAGAATCTCAAAGACTTGTGAGTATGAAGCAATGAGCCTGTCATGGTAGGATTTCATGTGTCTGTGAGGAAGATCTCTTTAGGTAAGGGACCCTCCTTTTGCTTGTTAAATTACAATCGCTGTCATTCCAGGAGAACCTTCTTTTACCCCATATCCTCTTCTGACAATCTTTTTTCCTTCTTCCCTTCCCAAATTAACTTTTGTAAAGACCCATATATATGACGAGATAATATATTTGAGATAGTAGCCTATTTTTTTTCCCTTTTCCCCTTCTATGGCTTGCCACTTTCCCAACCCTTGCCCTGTTATCAAACCCATAGGTGTGTTGACTTGGGGAAGAGATATAGATGAAAAATATTTCTGACATTTGTTTACAAAATTTGAAGCCTCAAAATGAGGAGAGGATTTAAGCAGGAGAGGACAAAGAAAATGGCTTAAAGAGAAGCCAGGGGCAACAGCATAAATGTGGAGGGAGAACAGGTAGCAATTTCCTTCCCAACTCTAGAAATAGATTTCTCTGGACTGGAGAAGGGTAGAATGATACATCTAGGTGAACAGAACCACTCAACCTGTCTAACCTTCCTGGGTATCCAAACATCCTCTGCCCCATCTTGGTATTGAGTAATATTTCCAAATTCTGAAAAAACTGGAATTGGGAGACTCATAATAGAAATTGAATTGATGGACTATAGCAACACTTTTTTACAGACTCGAGTCATGTGCTAATACTAATACGTACATAGTCATTCACCTTGCATCCCCACTTCCTCACTGATTATTCCTTCTTTCCTCCCCATGCAATATGCTAAACACCTCAGTCCACTAAAAGGTCTCATGATAAGGTCATCAATAACCCTCAGATTTCCCAACCTAATTTTCAATTCTCAGACTTCATCCCACAAACTTTTCAATCAACAGGTCAATATTATTAATACTATTGTCCACTCCTTCCTTCTTGAAAAATTTTCCTACCTCCCCTGTGTGGCACAATTGTATCCTAGTCTTTCTTTTCTTTCTCGGAACACTCCTCAAGTTCATTTGCAGGCTTCTCATTTTGTAGTTGTCCCCTTAAATAGTGACCTTCCTCAGAGTCCAGCCTTCTGTCCCTTGAGCTTTAAATTATTTCCTATTCTTATTACATATTTTCAACTGCCAAATATACTAATACAATTGTTAGTAACTACCAGCTCTCCAGCCCAGGCTTCCCTCCTGACGGCAGCCCCATATCTACATTGCCATGTGGATGTCACACAAAGTTCTGGCAGGAGACAGATAACACAGTAAGGAAGTCACTGAAGACAGTTTAGTAAAGGGGTTTAAAAGAGTCAATAAGGATTCTCTAGCAACAGAGGGGAAGCTATTATCCCCCCTAGACCTAAAGGGGTTGGGGAAGGAGATCTCAACTGCATGTGGAGAAATGGCTGCCTGACAGAACCTGTCCACACTCATGACCAAACTGTGACCTGTCACCACAATCTCATACTGATATCACCCAATGACTAAACCCAACCTGAAACCAGAGGTCAAAGGAGCCCAGGTGATTTAGTCCACAGATGTCTACTTCCTGGGCACAAAGCAGTGGTGTAAAGGGTGAAGAAAAGCTCTGGTGGGACAAATGGAGAATCATTAGCACGTCACCTCAGTGTGGCACCACCAATGACTCAGTTTCTCTCGCTAGGAACCTGGGAGCTTCTCTCAACTTTCTCTTACTTACTTCATTGTACCCAATCAATCACCAAATCCTGTACATGTTACTCTGTGAACGTTTCTCACACTCATCCCCTCTTTGCCATTCCCCACCAGTGCTCCAGCTCAGGTCTATGTGCTTCTTACCTTGATAAGTGCATGCATCTCTTAGCTAGTCTCTCAGCTTCTCGTCTCAAACCATGCCTTCATTACCCCTTCACATTGCTACTGACGTTATCTTTCTAAAAGGCTAAGCCCTGAGCACTTGAATGGCAGGATCAGTTTTTAATTTAAAAAAATGTTTAATCAATTGCAAAATCACACAATTGTACTTAAATTAGTTACAGAAATCATACACCATAATTCTAAGGAAAGCACACTTTATTGCTATATTACATAAAATGTGAAATTTTCTAAAGAGGTAACCATTATTAACAAATGGGTTTTATTTTTCCAGATACATATACCCCCCAGCTTTATTGAAGTATAGTTGACAGATACACTTTTTCTTACTTTTTATTTTGAAGTAATTATAGGCTCATTGTAAACAATAGTACAGAGAGTCCCCTGTATACTTCACCCAGTGCTGCGACTTGAATTGTATCCCCCAAAAAGATATGTTCAAGTTCTAATCTGAGTGCCTCTGAATGTGACCTTATTTGAAAATAGGGTCTTTTCAGATATAATCAAGTTAAAATGAAGTCATACTGGGCCTAACCCAATGACTGGTGTCCTTATAGGAAGAGGGAAACTTGGACACATACACAAGCACACAGAGAATGCCGTGAGACAGCAGAGGCAGATGCTGGAGTGGACACACAAGCCCAGGAATGCCAAGCTAGGAAAGAGGCAAAAAAGGACCCTACTCTAGGGCTCTCAAAAATACGAGAAAGTAAATTTCTGTTGTTTTAAGTCCACCCAGTTTGTGGTGATTTATTACAGCAGCCCTAAGAAACAAATACACTCAGCTTCCCCAATGGTAATATTTAATTTAACTATAGTACAATATCTAAGCAAGGAACTTGACATTAGCACAATACTGTTAATTAGATGATAGGCCTTGTTCAGCTTTCATCTCAGATTGATTTTTTAATCACAGAGAAGTGCGCGCGCACACACACAACACTTCCATTGCTTTTTAAGTTCCTTAGTTCTCAGTTTAGATGAAGTTTACCCATCGGTAAATATATGTCAGACAAAGGATTTTTATATGAAGCATACCTTCAAATCAAGAAAAAGACTAGCCAATGGATAAAATGGGTTAAAAGGTAAATAGGCAATTTATAGAAGGAAAAATATAAATGACCAACAAGCACATGAAAAGATGCTGAACTTTACTAATAATCAGAGAAATGATAAATTAAAATCACAATGAAATATTTTTTACCATTAAATTGTCGCAAATGTAGAGACTGATGAGAGATCCTCATACTGTATTAGAGAGATGGGATGTAAACAGGTACATAATTTTTTAGAAGACAATTTGGCAGTATCTATAAAATTTAACATGTTTGTACAATTTGACCCAACAATTGCACTTCTAGGACTCTTGGAAATACATACATGCACTAGGATAATATGTAAGAGGATATTTATTGAAATGCAGTTTTGAATAGGGAAAATACTGTTTGTTTGTTTGTTTGTTTTTTATCTTTATTATTGAAAGTATTACAGATGTGCCCCCTCCCCCCCCCCATTGACCCCCTCCTCCCCACTCCTCTAGAGTATTAGGCTGAGCAAAATAACCCAGTCAGGAAAAGACAATTACCACATGATCCCACTTACTTATGGAATATTATGAACAAAATAAGCTGATGATCAAAATAGATCCAGAGACATAGAAGTAGGGATCAGACTGACAAACCTCAGAAGGAAGGGGGATGGTGGGGTTGGAACAGATAAACCAAAGAACTTATATGCATATAAGTTACATAAATTTTGATATGCCCATATGATGCACCTGTTAAATGAATAAATAGACAAATATACTCACATATATCAATATGTTAATACACAAAACAATAGAACGATAAGGGTCAGAGAGACTGTAACTAAAGAGCATAGTCTCTATTTGGATTCATAACCCTGGCTCCACCACTTGCTATCTCTCAGACCTTGTGTTTGCATAGTTTAAATATTTACTTAACCTTTGGAATTTCAGTTTCCTCATAGGAAGATGAAAATAGTAATGTTTGTATCTATCTTATAGGGTTGTTGTGAGCATTACCTTAGTTAATTCATATAAACATATATTAAAATGTTATCTGGTACACAGAGATTGTTCTGTACATGTTAGCCACTACCATTATTATTGTTTATGTAAAGAAGATATACATGCATATATATATAAATATATATATACATATATATAAATAATCAATCCTTTCAGTAGATACATACATGCACACATGCCTGCATATCAAATTGTGACTTCCTCTGGAAGGAGTATAACTTTTTCCTTTAATAATATAGACTTCTATGTCAGTTGGAGAAGCAGTTGAATTTTGTTATTGTTCTTGGCTAACATATCTGAACCACTTTTGCTATTTCTGGAGAATTCCTCACCTTATGAAGCAGGACAAGCATTCCACTCTAGAAACTGAAATGCATGCTATGTGTTTTTCCATATTCCCTTGCGGCCGGGGCATGGGCTGCTCCAGTCAGATGCTTACAGAATCCAGTCTAGCCCAGGAGAGGCAGCAGCCTGCTGGCAGCTATATTTCAACTCCCGAGGAAGACAAGTCAGCATGGCGGCACCCAAGTGGGTTAGCTGAAGCAGCTGTGAGGTCACTGGAGGCAGGGCACGGGGCTCTTCTTGAGACCTGCAGGGCAGTACGATTTCAAACCTTCCCAAAGAGTCTATGAGTTACCCACTCTCTCTTTAATAAAGAGCTTTTCCCTAAATTAACCGGAGTTGGTTTATTTACTAGAAACTGAAAACACTGACTGATGGAGTATATTTTTGAAATTAAAAGCCTTCCCAACATTTTATTATGAACAATTTTAAACACTTAGAAAAGTAAAAGAACAGTAAAATGAATACTTACATACCATCTGCCCAGATTCAATAATTACTAATGTTTACATATATTTGGTGTATCTGTGTGTGTGTCTGTGTGTGTGTTGCTGAACATTTGAAAGTTAGTTGTAGGCACCAAAGAAAATAAGTAATACTTTCACAATATCCTCATATATCTAGGCCATATTCAAATTTCTTCAAATATCCTAGGAATGCCTTTTGTACTCCCCCCCCCCCCCCCCCAAGCCAAGGTCCACTACAACACATTGTGTTTGGTTAGGCCTATTTAGTGTCTTTTTGTAATTTAAAAATGCAATGAAGAAAAATAAGGGAATGTATGGACTTTGATCCTACTTTTATTGTTTTCCACCTAATGACTGAGAAGATAAATACCAGAACTAACAGTTAATAAGCAGTAATCACATGCCAAGCTTAAGTGAGGTGCTAAGCATATCAAAATAAATAGGACAAGGTCCCTGACCTCAAGGATTCAGGCCCTCTGAGTTTCTCCAAATACACACAATGTGTTGGTCTCCCTTTTAATCAGCTAAAGGAACAGAGAGAGACTGGATATCAGAGTTAATTATTTCCTTGGCTCAGAACCACATTATAGAGCGAGAGAGCTGAGCAAGGCTGGGTACACGGGTCTAATCCTTTATCTCCAGCTACTTTCTGAGCCCTGAACCCACTCAGCATAGCAATTAAGCCCCGTCACCGACTGATTCCAATCTAACTTTCCAGGCTCAGCTCTCACCACTTCCTCTTCCAGAACTCAAACTGGACCCACAATTTCTAGAATATATTTCATATTTCCCCATCCGTATATTCTACTGAAATGCTTCCACCGCCCGCACAATTTTCACACCCTCCCCCCAATACTGCAAGGCCCAACGTGTACGCCACAGGTTCAGTGAAAAAGTTCTAGAGTCTACCTCTAAGAAGAAGAAAGTTTACCTTCTTTTGTTCTTGTATATCCCTCCTTTTGTTGATCAAGTTTTGTTTTATACTGTTGTATTGTGCTTTTTTCCCTACTAAGAAAACTCACTGAAAGCAAGAACTTCGCCCTGACCAGTTTGGCTCAGCAGTTAGAGTGTTGGCCTGCGGTCTGGAGAGACCAGGGTTCGGTTCCTGGTTAGGGTACGTACTTTGGTTGCAGTTTGTCCCTGGCCTGGTTGGGTCACCTGGGTGCAACCACTCAATGGGTCCCTTTCACGTTCAGGTTTCTCTTTCTCTCTCTCCCTCCCTCCCACTCTATCTGAACAAAATATCAAAAAATGTCCTCGGGTGAGGATAAAAAAAAAAGAAAGCAATAACTTCAATTATGTTAGTTCTTTCCCATACTACTTGTCACATAGTAATCGTAGTGAACTTGATTAAAATTAATCATACAACTTTGAGAGCTGTTTGAGAGTAATTCTAGCAAAACACCAGGCAGAAAATGGAATATAGCT